CAGTCTTCCTTATGAAAGCAACTTTAATATTATGATACATGGAGAACAGAAGTTTTATCTTAAAACTTTTTTTCAAAAAAGGTGAACTTAAGAATTTTACCTTTTAATTTTGAAACTATACTTACATATGAATGTTCATAAATGGTAGGTTTTTTTTCTCTGAGATGTTTCTTTTTTAATATCCAGTAACTGAGAGTTTGGATTTTTGTATAGACTTTCAAAATAATTCTATATTTGACACAAGTAGTCCAATAGTTTAAATTTGGCAAAATAAATTACACTATAACATTGTCATTTTAACTTTCATATATGTAATAAAATGAACCTTTGGAGGCTCAAAGGTGTTTCAGTATTGTATAGGATAAAAACTTAGGAAAGTTAAACAGAGGTTTTGAGGGGAAGGAATGCTAAAGATATAACTCTAGGCAAGCACTAGATCACTGGTGATACACAAGACTGTAATGTATGTTTTAAGTACAGAAATTGTAATGAGCACATTATGTTTATTTCCTTGTTTGTTTGTTTTTGAAAATTCTATGCTGCATAGGGCACGATCCACAAAAGGATTTATTTTAATGACATTCTGCTAGCAAATATGGTTGCGCTGAATAGAAAAAAGAAGTTACTTCCCATATTTGGTGTTACGACATTTCCAAAAAAAAATTTCTAATATAGACACATTGCCTTGATAACAGAACACACACCTCTGAGGCTAAAGCGGGTCTTTGTGGGACAAGAAACCATTGCCTCCCTCTGAATCCAATCAAAATCTGTACTGTATAATAATAAACAATAAAAAAAATGTCAATCATTTTAATTTGGCTACCCTTCAAATGGCGTACTGTGTATATATAAAATAACTGCAACCCCTCCATTAACTGAGTTTGACATCACTTTAATCAATGTATCTTTTCAGAATTAAAAGCAGAAATGTCAAATTCCTACTTCTGTAAATTCTTTTAGTTTTTTAATCTGCATTATATAAAAGTTAGCCTTTGTAAAAGAATTTATGCTTTATAGAAATATAACCAACAGTTTGCTTTAAAATTTAGCTTGCAAAAGATACAATCCCAACAGATATTTCAAATTAGAAGTGATGCCCAATGAGATTGTTGAAGCTTCATTTATATGGACTTCTGCCAAGGCTCTACTTCTATGTTAATCACGTCATGCTACATTTCTTGAAAGAACTTGCCCAAACTTGTAATCTTGGGCCACATGAACCCTGAATTTGCTCTTTCCTTCATGGTTCATATTATCTTCTGGCGATATTAGTTAGTTGTTTTTAATTTCTTTTAATCAATATGTGATTAAATAGAAATTAAATTATGAAATAAAATTACTTTAAAGAAAAGATTAGGTTACAATTAAATTTCAACCAGTCCTCCAAGTTTCCTAAGGAAGACTTATTGAATGTACTCTGTCATTTAAGTAAAATGGTATGTACTATACAGAAAAATACATTTTCATACCTCAATACTATTTTTTCTTGAATTTGTAACAAAGAAATCGTTGATGAAAATATGGTAAGTCATGCTTAATAATTTAGAAAAATCGGAGAGAAGCTGCAAGCAAAATGGGAGGTGTTTGTTTAAGCATGTTCTTCTACTCTTAGTTAAGGCTATATGGTGCAAAGTACATCCTCCTTTAAAAAAAGAGAAAGGATTGCCTTTGGTAGTTGGGAGCATGGGGATGGGGTGGGGTAGGGGGAAGGGGAGCGGGAGAGAGAGAAGAGTGAAGGGGAGAATTGGAGAGAGCTTGGGGGAGTGGGATGGTTAAGATGGAGGAAGGAAAGATATGGGAGCAGGGAAGGACTTATCTTAATTAAGGGAGCCATTTTGGGGTTGGCAAGAGGCTTGGCTCTAGAAGGGTTCCCAAGAGTCCACGGGGATGTCCCCAGCTAGGACCCTGGGCAGTGGAGGAGAGGGTGCCTGAACTGGCCTTGCCCCATAATCAGACTGATGACTATCTTGAATATCACCATACAACCTTTGTCCTGCGACAGATAGAGATAGAGACAGAGACCCATATTGGAGCACTGGATTGAGCTCCCGAAGTCCAGTTGAAGAGCAGAAGGAGGGAGAATATGAGCAAGGAAGTCAGGACCATAAGGGTTTGGTCCACTCACTGAGACAGTGTGCCTGAGCTAATGGGAGCTCACCAAGGCCAGCTGGACTGGGATTAAACAAGCATGTGAGCAAACTGTACTCTCTGAATGTGGCTGACAATTGGGGCAGATTGAGAAGCCAATGATAATGGCACTGGAATTTGTCTCTATTGCATGTACTGGCTTTTTGGGATCCTATTCTATTTGGATGCATACCTTCCTAAGCCTGGATGGAGGGGGTGAGGGCCTTGGACTTCCCACAGGGCAGGGTACCCTGCCCTCTCTTAGGACTGGTTGGGGAGAGTGGGAGGGTGAGTGGGGGAGCAGGAGGGAAGTGGGAGGAAGGGAGGAAGTGGAAATTTGACTGGTATTATTTATAAATTAATAAAAAAATAATCTTCTAGAAAAAAAGAGAAAAGAATAAAAAACTTGTGTTTTCTGAGAGAGTGAAGATTTCAATTACTATTACTAATCTACACAAATAGTTAAGTATTTGGAAGCCTAATTCACAAGCAGTAAAGATTTCAAATGGGAGAAAGGAGCAAGGAGGGAGGGAAGCAAGGAGGTGGGGGAGATGCAACAGTATGGAAAGTAGTAGCTAAACTAAAAACTATGGACACACTATAAGGAATCATTTGCATGTAACTTAAAAATACAATTGAATAATAAATTTTAAAATGATATTTTGAATGCCCCCAAACTTAATCTACAGGAGTAAAATATAAAGCTGTTATTCTGTGCATTTTTGTTTTAATACTGGCTAGTTTCAATAGTGTCAACCAACATCTCTTTTCTTAAATTATATTTAAACATAATGTTCCATAGACATTTTAAAATAAATGAATAATATTTATATAACATATATTGTATTTTCCATAATGATATTATGTAGAGGAGACAGTCAAAGCCTCTCATTAAATTACAAAGTATATCATCAATTTAAAAAGGCTTCTCTTCTTTCAGTTAACATGCCCTTAAGAAATGTTGCAATTGAAATTCTAAATGATATCTTTGTTAGACTTCAAGACAAATTTTGTAATTTAAGAAATTCTGAATGTCTATTTGCAATGAAATATTTGAATAAATATACAAAATTGCATAAATAATTATAAAAGCAAACCCTTGCTTTAACACCACAATCTTTTCTTTCAAACAGCAATGTTTCGATATTAGAAACTCAAATTTATGAGTTCAATGTCTTTCATCTAAAACACTGTAAATTTTGAAAACAAGTTTCAAATGTCAACACACCTGACTAGTAGTACACTGTTAAAACAGCAAAGGTTTTTGTGTACTATAACCCTTAGGACATTTTTTTCTTAAACCTATTGTTATACTGTATAAACATTATTTCATGTCTTGGAAATGCTCTATGATAAAAAGCTTTCTTCAAATCCTAAGTATTTTAAAACCCAGTTGACTTATCTATGCCAAAGTAAAATATAGGCTTTTCTCTCTTTATTTCAGAATTGCATTTCTAATAGCCTTTCAAAAGAGCCCTGGACACTGGATTGTTATTTTTGGTTTTGAAGACTTAATTATTACCAATGAATTATTTCAATGATATTTATAAGTTGCTACAAAATCCATAGAAATAGAAATTAAAATGTGAATTGCTGTATGTGTGTTACAAAGAACATATGTACGTGCTACAAGTATTTTGCCTTGACAGGAAACAGAGTATCTATTTCTTTAGGAAATAACATTGATACAAAATAAATGTCTGAAGGCAACAATCAAAATAAATTGATTGCTCTGAAATGTAGACACATCTATTATATATCAAGACATGTACAATCTCAATTTCTACCACTTTTTTGAGTATGTGCTTGATGGTTTCTCTAGAATCCCTGAGTCATTACCTATTTATAAAGATTTCTATTTTCATTCTTAATTATAAACATTGTCCTCATAACTATTTCAGAATGACTAGAGTCCACAAGTCAAAAATAGGGAGAAAATGATAACCTTCATCCATATCTTTGGGATACCATGGTTTCACTGTGAATTATTATTATGTTATTTTTGTTGTTATGTTAGTCAATTTTTGCATTTATTAGTAATACCTCATATTTTTAAGACCAATAGGGCATTTTTAAAGAAAGGTCTGATCTAAAATTTTTTCTGAAGGGCTAGGTTACAGTAGACATGAATCACCAAGTGACTTACTCCAAAATAGTATTACAAGCCTTCCAGGTTTTTATTTTGTTTTCATATCAAGGGACTACCTGATCATTTTGTAGCACAAATTACTCCTGATTATTTGAAGAATAATCATGATGTGACAGAGAATATGATGTTTAAAATACGAAAAATAATTTTGAAAACTTATAAATACAAACTTTATGAATACTTTTACACTTGTCATCTGCCAAAGACAACTTTTTTTTTTTTGCTTTCCCTTATGTTATGTCAGATAAAGCCTTTCCAAACTTTAGGCTTCTGCTATTCCCATAGAGAATTAGTGCACTGAGAATACATGTCAGTTCACAACTCTCTACAAAACTATTATGAAGAATGTCAATCAAAATAAAAACAGCTACATAAACTGCTTCACAGCAATCAAGACGGCCTGTTCCATACAATAAAAGCAAGTTATGTATATATTATTATTATAACTTTCTTAAACAAGAATGGTGTTGTTTAGTGTATCACAAAGGGCAAGCAAACATCAGTAACGAAACCCCCACAATCCTTCTTCATATCTACTGAAAAGATTCCACAGTGTGAAACACATATGCTTGAATCTTGATGGAAAAGTACATAGAAGACCAAATTTATGCTTCTTCATAAGCTACTGTAATAAGTTTAAATCAATCTGCCTACTCAGTGAGCTTGTCACAAGCTGAAAGTCATGCCACAGTTAAGATATTTTTAGTCACTTTGTACTTACAACAGTCTTCAACTTCTTCCCACCAAAGCATTTGGAAGAAAAAGTATATATCAAGGCAGGGAAAGAAATCTTGGTAAAAGTTTCTCTCAGTTTTATTGCTCCAGCAGTCTTAGGTACGGTGAGATGTCAGTGAACTTCAGCAGCCTTGAAAAAAATAGCACTTCGACTTTTCCTATTCGTTTTTTCTATAAAGGCTATTGCCTTCAAGAGCTGAGTCCTGTAGAGGGAAAGTGAGTAAGCCCAACACTGAGTGAGTCAACATAGTAACTGATGCCAGGATTCTGTAGAGGCCTCTGGATATTTCAAATTCCAGGACCTGCGCACAAGCAAGTGACCCGCCTTTTCTCTCAAGTTGCTTTCCCATAATAGGACTGCCCATGGACACTACATATAAGGCTGTGCTTCCAGCATGGCAAGCTCTGTGAATTCAAATAATGTTCAACTGTGTTCTGATTCACGTCCAAACCAGAATAGCACAAGGGACACAGTCTTGCTCTCAAAGTCCCCTAGACATAAAAACTCATCAGTACAAAGCTGTCACAATATTTTCAGTAACTTTTATGCTAATTTCTAAAACAACAAAGCAGAAAGTCCTGATGCAAAATTAACTTTTAAATGCCTTTCTTTTTGGCTCCCTTCTTAGCACACCCAAAATGTCACCCTTCTGGACAACAAAAACTGCCCAGAATAATTTATTCATTTGTAACCTATTTGTTGTTTACCGAAACTAATTTGTGCCCTTGGGACCCAATCAAAATCATATATTGATGATGCCAACACTTTGAATAAGAGAAGCAGCAGCAGAATAGAACAGCTGAATTCTGAAGGCAGAATGTGAGTAGGTCTCAGGGAACACAGTTTATGCTAAAATAAAGAACACTCTTAATAGGAAGGAGAATTCTTTCCAAAATACTAAATTTCAGTTGTGAGTTAAGACTATTTTCTTCAAATTCTACTGCCAGAATTATTAAATCCAGTCTATGAAATATTGAGCTACTGATGACTTAATGGTTCCACACAAAGCTATAATACTAAATATACAGAATTGTAATATATTATCCAATATTTTTGTAAATCATTCTTAGTCAACAGGAACATTCATATTCTTTTTTATTATTTATGCATTACTCAACAAAATTTTCAAGAGACTTTGGTAACATACTTTGAGGAAGATTTGTTTTACAATTATAATCATCATCCTTGAATTGTTTCAGTATTTTAGATAAGGTTTAACTTTTGTAAAATAAATAATATTACTAGAGAGAGAAAAAAAAGAGAGAGGAGTATAATGTATGTTACGGGCATGTGTGATATCTCTTTCTTCACCCCAACATGGTCTATTCTGTTTTCATAGCTCATGTGTTCCTTTCCTTCATAACTATTCTTGTCTTTTCATAGTTATCTTTCAGCTTTTGTGACCGCACTCCCAGCCCAATACATACAAATTTAGATTTTAATGCAAGACGACATGACATATTTGTCCTTTTGAGTCCAACTCATTTTGTTTCACACAATGCTTTTCATTTCTGCCCAATTTTCTCTAAATATCATGATTTCATTTTTCCCTATAAAACATTAACATTTCATTGTGTACATATGTATTTGTTTTATCAATCATGATAAAACATTTTTTCCATAATTGCTAAGACTTTTCTCATACTATCTCTTTATATTCATACCACTTACTCTCCTCAGTCACCCTGAAAGCTATTCACAACTAATTTGTCTTCCATCTTTCTTACTTTGCCAATTTAAGAATTTTATAGAAATTCAATCATTCAATTTGTGACCTTTTGAGACTGCCTTTTTCACACAGAATTTTGTCATGAGTTTCTATTTATGTTCTTATCAATAGCTTCCTACAACTATATCTGAGTAATGTATCTATCTATGGCTGTTTGTGGTAGGTTTATCCATTTATCAATTGTAGGACATTTCAGATGTTCCAAATTTTGACCGATACATATAAAGCTGCCAAAACAGTCATGTAAAGTTTTTTAATCAGATTTAATACTTAAGAGTATAATTATTTAGCATATTAACAAATGAGTATCTAACTTATTAAAGGTAATAGCAAAGTTATTGAAGTATTTTATATCGCTCAGTAGTGTGTTTAACACAGTTTCTTCAAATTCTCACCATTATTTGGTGTTTTCAAATTCTGAGTTAATTTTTTTTAACTTCTAAATGTAGAAGAACATAATGATAATCATAATATCAGTTTTTCTAATGGATAATGTTATCAAATTGCTTTCCATGTACTCTTTTAAAACTATATTTGGGGGAAAACTTTTAGATATAATATTAAAATTCTTAAATCCCAGTTCCCTCTCCCTCCCCTTGTACCATTCCTTCCACTTACAATTCAGTACCTCACCCCCCATCTACTCCAAGAGAGGGTAAGGCACATTACTTTAGGCCCTCCCTACTATATCTAGACTGAGCAAAGTATCCATCCAAAGAGAATAGGTTCCCAAAAAGCCAAGTACATGCAGTAGGAATAAATCCTGGTGCCCCGCAGTCTGCCCCAACCATGCAACTGTCAACCACATTCAGGGGGACTAGTTTGGATGAAATTTTGCACCTTCCATGTCAGGCTGGAGTTAGTGAGCTCCCATTAGCTCAGGGAAACTGTTTCAGTGGGTATCCTTATCATGGTCTTGACCTCTGCTCGTATTTCACTTCTCCCACTCTTCAACTGAAATTTGAAAGCTCAGCCCAGTGCCTCTGCTCGGCCTCTGCCTCTGTTTCCATCAGTTGCTGGATGAAGGTTCTATGATGACATGTCTGACTACAGGGCAAGGAAAGTTCAGCCCCCCTCTCCTTAGGGTCTTAGGGTCTTAGCTGGTGTCTTCCTTGTGGATTCCTGGAAATTTCTCTAGAGCCAGGTTTCTTGCTAGCCTTACAATGGCTCCTTCAATCAAGATATCTCTTTCCTTGCTCTCATCTCTGTCCTTCCTCCATCTCGACTATCCTGTTCCCTCAAGTTCTCTTCCTTCTCCCCTTTTCCCTTTACTTTCTCTTCTTCTGTCCCTTCTCCCCCTACCCCCCTGCTCCTAATTTTGTCAGGTGATCTTGTCTATTTAGACTTTCTAGGTGGATCTATATATGTTTTTCTTATGGTTCACCTTGTTACCTATCTTCTCTAGGATCGTGAATTATAGGCTCAATGTACTTTGTTTATATCTAGTACCCACATATGAGTGAGTACGTACAATATTTACCTTTTTGGGTCTGGGTTACCTCACTCAGGATGGTGTTTTCTAGTTCCATCCATTTGAATGCAAATTTCAAGATGTAATTTTTTTTTACTGTTGAGTATACTCTAATGTGTAAATATGCCACATTTTATTTATCCATTTATTGGTTGAGGGGCATCTAGGTTGCTTCCAGGTTCTGGCTATTACAAATAATGTTGCTATGAATATAGTTGAACAAATGTCTTTGTAGTGTAATTGAGCATCTTTGTATTGCTGGTTCCTGAGGTAGGGTAATTCTTAATTTTTTGTTTGTTTGTTTTTTTACTTTTTTTATTGAGAAACAGGAAAAAAAAAGTTTCTGCCTCCTCGCAGCCTCCCATTTCCTTCCCCCTCCTCCCACCCTTCTCCCCCTCCACCCACTCCTTTCCACCTCCCTCTCCAGTCCAAAGAGCAGTCAGGATTCCCTGCCCTGTGGAAAGTCCAAGGTCCTCCCCCCTCCGTCCATGTCTAGGAAGGTGAACATCCAAACTGGCTAGGCACCCACAAAGCCAGAACATGAAGTAGGATCAAAACCCAGGGCCATTGTCCTTGGCTTCTCGGCAGCCCTCATTGTCCGCCATATTCAGAGAGTCCGGTTTTATCCCATGCTTTTTCAGTCACAGTCCAGCTGGCCTTGGTGAGCTCCCACTAGATCAGCCCCATTGTCTCCGTGGGTGGGTGCACCCCTCGTGGTCCTGACTTCCTTGCTCGTGTTCTCCCTCCTTCTGCTCCTCATTGGGACCTTGGGAGCTCAGTCCAGTGCTCCAGTATGGGTCTCTGTCTCTATCTCCATCCATCTCCAGATGAAGGTTCTATGGTGATATGCAAGATATTCATCAATGTGGCTGTAGGATAGGGTCATTTCAGGTTCCCTGTCCTCAGCTGCCCAAGGAACTAACTGGGGACATAGCCTTGGGCTCCTGGGAGCCACTCTAGGTTCAAGTCTCTTGCCAACCCTAAGATGGCTCCCTTAACTAAGAATTGTGCTTCCTTGCTCCCCTATCCAACCTTCCTTTATCCCAATCATCCTGTTTCCCCAAGTTCCCCCCATCCTCCCCTTCTCATTTTTCTCTCCCCATCTCCCCTTACCCCCATCCCACCCCACCCC